TAAATGAGTACGCAAGACCTTTCATTACCGGAGCTGGGCTAGGTTTGTCGAGTCGTCCTTCAAGTGTGTTCCGTCGACCATATTTTATTTTCCCTCTCCAAGAAGTGTGATTTAAATTATGAACTGCTGGTTAATATCGGTAGGGAGTGAGAGGAGTTGACGTAGTAAAGGGACATTTTTTCCGCGCAAGTTCGGGACTTGGGACGCACACTATGAGGGTTTCTAATTTTGTAATAACTTGTTAAAGACTTGACTGCATTCTATCGGCATCATTGTCGAGTGTTTTCAGTGACCTCACAGCTACTTACCTGAGTATATAGCTATGTAATTACTGAAGGCAGAGAAAAAAAGAGGCGATAAGCCAAAAGTGCAGCTTCTTGTATAGCTTCCAAAATGGAATACATGTTAAGAATATATTCTCAGATTTGAAGGGCGTGTAGTCTAGTGACCTAAGAATGTTGGGTAATTGGATATAAAATCGATGTGTCCAAATATCGACTGCCGAGTGGAAGATCGACCTATCGCGGCAGCCAGTTCGAAAACGCCCTATCTCATACAACTTTTCAAGAAGGCGCTATTTCAGAATTTGATTGAAAACCCCCTTATCTGGGAATTTGGTCGCAGAACGCTCTATATGGCGGAGATAGAGCGTTTTCGAACTGGCTGCCGAGATAGGTCGATCTTCCACTCAGTCTTATAATTTAAAAAATGAAATGAGCTGCAAGTTAAGTAAGATTTGTTGGGATTTAGCATATCCCTTGTTGAACCTTGGTGAGTCAAAAATTGCTGAACTAATGAGCCCGTGATGCCTCCAGACTTTGACATGATATAACACTCGTAAGATAACAAAGCCGATTAAGTACGGGTGCGCGAACAACTAGTAGTACCCAAATCCCAAAAATTTGTTTTTTTGAGGTCGCCTCTCGAGAGGCTATCGCAAATATCTGAGTTTATTTCTCATGAACTCCATCTGCCAGAGGCGGCGCAGAATTTAAAAATCTCTAGAAATCGATTACTAAAAATTTGGTTAAGCGATCTTCGTTTAATGCATGCGAAAACATCATCTTTAGTAAGGTCCTGTCATGGTTACAAATGGACTAGTGTCAAACCTAGTAATTGCATATCTATAGGGATACAAAAGTGCATAACTTTAGAGATCTGTGCATACACAAACACACTGCCAGGCTTTTCTGTGAGTGTGTGTATGCGCGTACGGATTTGTGCACATTATGCGGCGCGTGCTCAAATTGTTAATTGTTGACCTAAATTGTTGGTAAATAAGTGACGGTGAGATATAGCGGCCAGGCATTGCAGCTGGCTCATGGCTATAAAAATAAAGCCAATATATTTATGTATGTATGTACATAAATATTTATACTCATACCATTTCAGTTGGTAACAAAAGTTTAGAACGCATTGATGTATACTAAGCGCGAAGGCCTATATGGAGTGTAAGTGAGCGGCATAATTTCGAAATACGAGTACATAGAGTGCAACATAACTGCGAACAAAATTTATTTGCAATAATTTTAAATTTTTTTTGTCGCTTTAGCCCGCAACATGTATTCAATTAGGGTTGCAAGCGTGCGTTTAATGTGTATAGGACTAAAAAATTTTATTTGCCAGTTTGTACATTAGCTTTGAGCGTGAGCGTGTTCACTACACATTTGCTTTAATTAAATCAGAGGAACTTTACGGTTACTAATACTATTTATTGGTATTGCAATTTGTTTATTTATGTTGAATGCTTTATTGCCTACACAAAGTGGACAATGAAAATGAAAATGTATTTATGAGTAGATTTTAATGCTCTTGGTAAAACGTGTCACATTAAAAAGGAAAGCGCAAATTCATTTGGAAGGCCATCAAAATTGACTAAATTTTAGCCGTACTTACGTGGACTATAAATTTGTTTAGTTATGTGTTTCGCTACTTGCTCTTTGACATATAATGACATTAAGTACTTGGGCTTCATCCGTGACAGAAAGTTATCGTGGATGCCAAACATCGAAGAAAGGGCAAGGAAGCCATCATTGGCCTTTGGAAAGAGAAGGCGTCAAGACTCAGGAAAATCGATTGGTTGGCCGACTTAAGGACTGGACACTCTGGAGTTATAGGGGGCTTCGTTTTCATCCCTGATCGCATGGATTTCAGCGCCACCAAGGTGGCTCCTAGGAGCGGGCGGAACTTCAGGAGAGGAGGAGCAGTGAACTTTTTCACGGACGGATAGAAACAGGATGATAGGGTTGGTGATGGTGTCTTCTGTCGAGAGCTTTCCATCAGTACTAAGTTCAAGGCTTCCAGCCTGCTGTAAGAGGAAATGGCTGCTATTATGGAGGCGATGGAGTCACTTCTCGGGAGTGCGATGACAGATACGGAGCATTTATTTATTCTGAGAACCAATCGGCTATCGGGGCCTTAAGTACGTTGGAGGGGCGCTCTATCTTGATTAAGGAATGTCTGCTCTCTCTCTCCCCCTCTCAGTCGAATCAGAATATTTCCTTTGTATACTCATTTAAGTTCCGCGTCACAACGAGCGGTGCAGTGCATATTTCCCTGCCAGCGAATAAACAGCAGCTCGACTTGGCATGATCTGGCCAAAACACAAAGTTGCAAAGTGTCTAGGATTATGTGGTGAGCGTATGATACTTATCAAGCTTATGATGTTTCTCATATCCCTCTACAGAGAGGACGCCAGAGTTCTTGTCCTGTCCTTAGCAGACCCAGAATAGGTTTCTAGAAACAGGCATTTTGCCTTAGTTGGAAGCCGGCAAAAAATTAGAGTACAACAAAATATTAAAGTTTGAAGGGCTGCGATGTTCTTCAATATTACTCCTGATACTCAGTGATTAGCTGTTTAATGTGGCCGTAGTTTATTTGCTAACGCTATGGACCTTAACGGTCTCTAAGGAGCCACGTAGTGTTAACCCTTAATGGGGGGCATAAATAAAATCACACAAGTAGTCGAATGGGGTCTCGAGTGACCCAAAAAAACTGTTGGAAAAGGATTGTAAGAATTAAATAAAACAAGGTGTGTATATTAGAAGTTCTTTAAATGAAACATATCTTCGGCTGGGAACGAAGATTAAAAAAATTGAAATTTTATCCCGCCAAAAAATATTGCGTTAGAGGGTCAATACTCAAGGCAAGGGCGATACGATTGTATACGCCGATGTTCTGCCGTGATTAAAGAAAGAAAGAGTTAAGTTATTGCGTTTGTATTATAGATATCGTCCGGTTACGAATATTACAATTTATAACAACAGTTTAAGCGTCCCACTATTTGAAAATAGTTATAACAAAAACTTAATCAGGGTGCTCACTAATATTAGTAGAATCAGAAATATTAAGTAAAAAAAACATTTATTGTATCCTACTGGAAGAAAATAAGCATTTTTTGCTTACATCTCTAGTCCGACTCTATTGCAGAAAAAAGAAGTCTGATGAGGAGATGTGGTGATCTCCGAAATAGTGCTATAACTTCTACCGCTTAGACTTTGTTGCTTTTTCAATTTTTCCTAATAAACAATCGTGGTACAAAGCTCAATAAAAATATTACGAATAATATTAAGTTTGGAAAGAAATTTAATTGAGTCAATTAACTTTTTAATTGAGCTACCGATTTTTGGTTGTCGCACACAGTCAGCTGCTTCCAGTGATGGAAAAGTTGGTGCAATTGTACCCCTATTTACTGTGAAAATACATTCGGTACAGATACACAATTTTAGGTAAGTTTGGGAGGTAGTCAACCAACTTTTCAGGAAATCAGTTCGTATTTTTATTCACACTTCAACGCATTTTCTTTTGTGGGTAAATTTTCCAATGGCCTCCCTCCCTTGTGCAGGGGCATAACAATTGATACAAAATGGTGGTCAAAATAACGTAACTGTAGTTTAAACGCCATAAAAACTTCTTTTTAAAACATCAGATCGAAGAACTCGGAGGAAAATGATTCGCCTTTTCGAAAATATAGTTTTGTCTCGAAATGTTCGGAGAGATTCTTTTTATAGCCATTTTTTTTATGTGAGTTCAGACGTTCATATATACTTATAAAAATACATTTATACTTTTGGGATTCATTTATCTATTTTTAGGTAACGTTTTTCCGCAGATTTTAAAATTCAATTTTCCATGCCTGATGGAATAAATATCAGCTGTGAAAGAGGACCAGAAGTCAAATTTAAACATATACAACATGAAAAAATGCATTCACTAGCAGTCAATTAAGCACTAATCGAGCAATTGGGATTTTTTTATAAATAGATATTTTGGGGCGAATGAGAATTGTCCTTTAAATCCTAATTACGAGCATGTACACTAGACTGTCCCAAGAATATATGAAAAAAATTTTTTATTAATAACTTGAATGAATAGGCCATGCAAGCTTTGGAAATGCGAAAAATTCGATATGTGTCCCATATTTTAGCGCATTTATAGTAAATCTGCATCTTTACATATTTAATAGAACGGCAGGCTTCTTCCCAAGGACATCGAAAAAATTTATTAAACTAAAATATCCTTTGCAATTTCATCCTTCAATATCCTTATATATATTAATAGGATTTAAATTAAAATTCTTCAAAATGCATGCAATCTTGAAGGATAATAATTTTAAAGGACATTTTGAACATGTTCCAAAAGGATAATTGAAAACAAAAGTTCTAATTAATATTTTGCTTTGAAATTTTCTTCTAATTGATACTCATATATCCATATTTTGTGCAAACTTTGGAAATATATAATAATTTATAGTCCTTTGACTACCTGGTACAAAAACTAAAAACGCAGATTTACTAAATATTATGCCCTAATACTGTAGGCAGTATAGTAATACCATCATATATACATAAAAGTAAAATTTACTTTAACTGGAAATAAAATTTTGAACGATAACGAACAGCAGAACAGACTATAATTGCGACTGTGAAACCGGCGGTATTACAAAAATATACAAACATATTAATTTTACGAAAAAAACAAAAAAAAAAACATTTTAATACCTTCTGAAATGACCGAGTTATTATTGCTACCGCTCAAAAAATTTTGATCGAATTGCTCCAAATTCTTGAACTTTTCCACAATCAGCTGCAGATGCTTTGAATCGCGCACATTTTCCAACAAATGACGAATATTTTCCAGTTGTTTCGGCGGAAATTTGCCACCCTCGCCATTATTGGAAACAAGTTTCTCGAAAATATTTTGAAATGTCTGCTTTTGCACGCTGGAGATGCCGCTAAGAGCGCTGACACTGTTCATCACGGCACCCGTAGAGGTGGCAACAGGCGAGGCGGGTGCTGATGACGTGGCGCTGTTTTTGACTGGTGGCGTTGCGGTGGAACGGCTGTTGATTAATGAGGGTGGTGGCGTAGTTTTTATATCCATTTTTTATTTATTTACTTTTTGGTTCTAGTAATATTTCTTTTTTTATTTAAGTATGTAGTATTTATGTCACAAATTTCCGTAAACACTCTCCACCAATACTGCCGACAGGGTCAAATAATACTTCGCATAACTACAAAACTCTTTTTTTTTTTAATTTATTCCTCTCTTAGTTAAAAGCACATAAAATCACAGAAACTATTTTTGTTTTTTATTTATTCTTTTGTTAATCAAATTCACAAAAGGAATTTTTACAATTTTTAAAACCACACATTATCCTCAGATTCGTTATGAAGCCATTGAGTTTGTTTTTTTTTTGTAGCGAAATTTGAGTAAATAACGAAATGCCGACGCTTTCGAGCTTCGCCAAATTCACGTGCGCAATCTTATGCCAATAATCGCTTCTTTTTTGTTTTGAACGTCGTCGACCGATAAATTCCAACTTGACACAGACGCAGCGTTGCGTCGTCTAGTCTTCAAATATCGCGCTGATTGATGAACCGTAAAACCAGGTAGCCGCAGCTCGAGTGAAACACGAAGTACACTGCCACAACGCAAAGGTGGCAATAAACAAACGGCAAGACCAAACCGGTCGTTCAGGTTGCCTAGGCTGACATTGCTTAGTATTTTTTTTCGAGTTGTTTTACACAACGCCAGCCAGGTTGGCTGCCTGGTTGGTTGACTGGCTGGCTGTAGATAGGTTTGGTGTAAGGGAGTGTGAGGCGTGCAACAAATTCGAGTGCTCATAAATCGAATTGGGAAAACTGGTTCCGAGGGTTGAGTTGTAGTGTGCTGAGTAGTGGCACCAACAAACATTCATTTCTATGCATTTACAGATGTGCTTTTCGGCAGAGCAGTTAAGTGTAGAGGGTGAAGAGTATTCGTTTGCTGGATGTGAATGCTAAGGGCGGAGCTTAGCACAATATTGCGCTCACTAATACTGATATATGTAGGTACTGCTACAGGTATCTCGTGAGAGTGTGTTAGTGAAAAAGGATATTTTAAGTGAGCAAAAACCAGCTAGCTTGAGAAAAGCAGCTCAATTTTCCGGTAAATAGGTTTTTAATAAGTCTCAATTGGTAAATTATAAGTCAAATTTAAGATCTTCTCGTTTTTTAATAAGTTCAAGTGCCGTAAAATTTTAAATATAATTACTATTTAAATATTTTATTTTTATTTTTATTTTTTAGCCTGGTAGGAAAAGCGTTGGCGTATACGCCCAAGTAAGTAGTTACTTTTAACTATTTAATTTATTCAACAAATCTGAACATTTCTAAGGTGTAGTCATAGCAAGTGGCAAAAAATCCTGATTTCAGGCGACGGCAGACGAAAAAAAATTAGTCCTTTATTTTAACCCCCTGTCTTTAATTTTTGTTTATTTTTTTAAAAGGACGCCTTTTGTCCTTTATTTCTGAAACTGTCCTTTAAATCGGCTCTGCATTTTTCAAAGGTAAATTTTTTAACGCAGAATATGAAAAATAAAAATGTCCCTTATAAAATATAATGAAAACCTTCGCCAGTTTGTTTCGCACCCCACTGAAGGGTTTCTATTTAATCGGTAATCTTTGTACAATCCATAAAGCACAGGGAAAGTTGTGCCCAGGATCGTGTTGCACGCTGAGTTCCCGGTTCCACTGAACGAGAACAATAAACGCCCTGCTGCACATTAGTTCAAAAGTGGAACTTAGTGCTCGTAATTCACGGAAGCCTCCATTTTTCACTTATTTTGATTAATTTTAATTTTTTTTTATGAAAGCTTACAATATTTGCAAGAGACCAGTTGAGCCTGATTTCTGAATTTTTAGTTGATTACATTAAATTTTTTTGTGCAAAATGCAGAAAAAGTAGCATTTTTGAAGAAAATTTATTTTCCTGCTTCAGTTAGTAAATGTTACATAACAAAAGCTAGTTGAAAACAATTGTATGGTTCTCCTACAACAAAAAAATACACAAAAGAAAAATTTGAAATGCTAAAAAAAAAGTTCATCACAATAAAAATTTTTTTTTTAGGTTTTTACTAAAAATTGGTTGTAAATTGAATTATGAATTATGGTACACGCATTTTGGTAGCAAAGGATGGCGAAGTCCTAGAGCAGGGGAACTTGTACAATTAAATAATATAATTAGTTGGTAGATATTTGATTTATATTACGATATGGGTAAGGTACTTTTATCATACAAGTTGTATGTATGTATTCCAAATCATTTTGAAAAAAAATGCCCTTTATTTTACGTTGGTTAATATGGTCACCGTAGGTGTATGAGCACGAGTGGTTATTTTAACTTTTTTTAGTATGTATTTATTTTTTAAATTTTCATTTAAATGCAATTTCGCGTTGGAGTCTTGTTCTTTATACAAATATGAAGATAATGCATTTTCTAAGATACGTATGTATCTTCTGTCCTCCTGCATCTGCTGTCTGGACTTCTTTTATAAAACCTGCAAATCGAAGCAAATAATTGGACTGGTGTAGTCTAGTCCATGCAAGGTTGCTGGAATAGTGCCCAGAATTTTGAAGTGACCGAACTTCTCTCTGTCTCTTTATGCGTGCGTTGCAGCTTACTAGGACCTTGAGTCCATTCTCGCTTGATCAGCTATTTACGAGTCAGAGAGCGTTCTGTAAAAGTTCGCTTAGTGTTTGGAGATGCTTATCTGTTGCTGTGAGCGGCAATCACATTCTGCGTTTGTTAGCTACCTCTCTCTGCATACCTAGTCACGAACACGTCCCTCAACTCCGAGCAGATAGTTTTTTCCCTCAAGAAAAAATCATATAAGTTCCACCAGCGGCCGTTCCAGCACACACTTGAAAAAATGACCTCACGGAGTCTGGAAGAACAGTGTTAAAGGCACCTTCAATGTCAAGAAAGATTCCTGGAGAACCTTCTAAATTTTCAAAAACAATTTCATATATCGCAGTGTCAACGGATTTGTTTTTAGTATTAGCATGTTAACAAAAGATGCTATCGCATATGGACGTCAAGAAGTCTTTCTAAAATTTTAAGACAAAAGGAGCTGAGGCTTGTTGGCCTGGAGTAATTGAGTTTGACATGAGATACCCTGTCTGACTTAACTATAAAGACTACAATAGCCTCAGTCCATTCTATATTTATGTGAGCGCTTGCTCACCAGCGTGCAGCTGGTGCTGGATAGGTTAGGTTAGGTAAAGTGGCAGCCCCGTGTAACCGGAGCTCACTTAGACAATATAAGATTGTCCCTTGTGATAACACAATTTGGAACGGTTCCCTAAATTTTATCGTTAAAACGCTCCGAGCTCCCCAGAGATCCTCGGGCCTATTTAGAAAGTAAGAGCTAAAGTACTTCGACCATCGCCTCGCAAACGCTGGGCATCTAAGAAGGTAGTGTTGAGATGATTCCACCTCATCCTCTTCCAGGCAACTTCGACATAAGGGGTCCGGTA